TAAATAAAAGTAAAACGCAGTGAATTAAACTTATCCCTTTTAGTTTATTAATTTGATGTACGAGGAAGGACCGTCTTTACTCTCCTGATTGCTCCAGGAGACTGAAGACTATTCACAAAGACGAAACCGAAAACGTCACCAAAAGACAAAGAGCACTCTGTTCTATATACATATGAAATCATTGTTTATCTAATGGTACTCTGGCGAGACTCTCGGCGTCGATTCGGTTTTGTAACTTATATGCTAGAAGGAAAAACTTCTGAGTATTCAAAAGAGAGAAAATAATCCAATATGCACCTACCATTTGATGTCATCCGTGTGACCTAAGTAATGCCTCTGACTGTGTTCCTCCATATTGTACAGGATCACGACGGCCGCAACAAAATAGACAATTTCCCCGGTTGGTAGCAAGTGAAGATTACTTCGGCAATCTCTGCCACGGTAACCATAAACCCAATTGAGTTTTAACTTGTTCTGCGGAGGTGTGCTGACCTTGCGAAGGTCATACGATTCCATCAGAGGAGTTGGCACATAGAGGACCACCGGTCGGCCTCTCAGGTACATGCGGACAGTGTTTTCTTCTTCGTTGTACTGCATGTCTCTGGTGCTGTGAACGACAAACATCTCATCTTATCTTCTCTTAAACAGAATAAAGAGATCAACGCTGTATATATGAGAAATTGCATCGTACAGTTACTCACGAAAATATTCAGATAGCATTTACGATATTTGAAAAATTGAACCAAATTACTTGAATTCTTTGTTAGATATATGTACAGAGCGTCTCAAAAATGTTCGAATCAAATTAAACGGATCATTCCTGAGATCATTTGAAACAACTATTTCCTTGGCCAAAACTGTTCTCCGTAGTTTTGTTAACGAGTTGTTGACGAAAAATACATATCAATCGGAGAACGAGAACAACTGGCATCTTGCTAGAATGAAAATTCAAACAAGGCGTTTTGTAAATCTCGGCAACTTAAATGTTTTTTGAAAATTTCATCGAAATAAGTTAATGGCTAGTTTATAGCCATGATAGCCAGATTTCAAATCGAAGAAATAGGGGTAGATCACGTGGGGCTGGGATTCCCGTGTAGATGAGTGGTGTACCGGTGTAATTGTCCCTATCTACTTTCTAGCGAAACCACTGCCAAGGGAACGGGCTTGGAAAAATTATGGCCCCTCTCCTTGATAGTGGTTGGACTGGGGGTAGATGGCAGCTTAGCTGTGTATGCCCGTAAGGGCGAGGTAACATATCCGCGTCACCCTCGCGGTGACCGGATTCACACTAGATGTACCGGTGTAATACAATAGGATAGGAACACCCACCATATTCCCCACTTTTCTGTACGGGAATCTACCATAGGCGCATCATATGATCTACCTTCACACTTCGATTTGAAATCTAGCTTAATATCTCCTGGCTATCATAGTTGTAGCTCAAGCTAGAAGTATTGAAAGATATAAAAATCTCAAGATTTCTAACAGTTATTAGTGAAAATTCATGAAAATCTGAGACTTTCGCGATATTTAAGTATTTGTAATCCATAACAATGTAAACTGTCTTGAATGAAATTTTCCGCATACATATGTATGCAGAATACCGCATAGGTAAAAAAGATACCTATATGTGTAGGTAAGATACAGAAACCTACACAACAAATTGTTTAAATTCTTGTTCTAGACTCGGATAAGACAGTTAGAAAACATAATTTTTGTATTTTTGTTTTGTGATTCAAAACAATTACTATTCTTATAAAAATTACTATTCTTAACTATTACTATTCTTAAAAAATTTATCTAGATATTGTAATATTGTAAATATTATCTCATACAAATTCAAGTCATTTTGTTCACGTTTGAAAAAGTGTTCGAATGCTTTAGTTAGTGACTGTACTTGAACTAGTTGTGCACTCGGAACGAAGTCTTGTGTGTAGGTCATATTGACATTTTTACATTTCAAATTAACTCTCTTGCACGCCTTATTTATCTTTTTGTAGATGATGATTTCCTTTTTTCAAGTAAAATTCACCATCTAGGTAGGTCTCATTAATCTTATCCTAGTTATCAGTAATCTCTCTACGTAGAATCAGGTGAAATATTTGAAATGCGTGCACGTATTTATACGCTTAAAATAGTATTCATTTAATACAGATAAATATGAAAACACAATGTAAGAAATTCCATAGAACTAAAATAAATCTTCACTACACCAGCAAAGCAAATTATGTTAATCCCAAAATAATCATTTTCGTATTAATAAACGTACGAGATTTTTACTTAATATTATTTTATCACAAATGTGACGGGAGAAGGGAGAACTATGTAGTATTCCTTCGATATCTGTGTAGTAGGACCTCGGTGAAGTAGGCAAACAAAGCCTCATCCTTAAAGATTGATACTTTCCCTTTACATTGTCACCTCAAAACTTGTGTGTAAGTTTTGGTTTACTGGTTTTATGGAACAGTAATGAGGGACAACTGTCAACAGTAGTAGACAAAACAGTTAAAGTACGTTGTAAACGAAAGCTAAAGAAAAATGATAATTGTAACTTTCACGTGAGTGAAAGGCAACTATTGTACGTACTTGGAAACACCTCTATGCTATTTCTAATTGTGTTTACGACATTTGACATATTCTTCGAAGTCGAAACCTTTTTATATTTATAATTAAAATGGAAAATGTTTGATATGAGCTGAAAACTTGTCATCAATCATTTGTCATCATTATGGTTAATGTGTTAACGCTGATAGAAGAGATAAAGAATAAATTGCCATTAATAACCCTAATTGAAGATTGATGCAACATCAATTGCATTTATTTGAGCATATTTTATATAATTAAATACATAAAAAATGTGTTTAATCGTTTAAATATGTGAAAAGGAAATTAATAATACTTGTTTAAATTGGTTACTAAATCATATTAGTTGATAACGCGATCGCATGGTAACAACAATAAAGGGCTCTGCCCGTTAGATATATTCATTTGTACATTTATACAACGAATAGTAAAATCAAGTAGAACTGGATGCAATAACTTACAATTATGTACTTTACTACCTAAAATTTTATTGTAAAATAATAAATAGGAATTCTTTAAATATGAAAATAAGCTATTAAATATAATTAAGAAAGGGTGTAGCACTTAATCATCCAAATATTACTGTAAATCTCCAATCAATAAGAATCTACGATAGAAGATTTTATAAAATATGTAGCCTAAATTGTTAAATAATTACGCAAGACATATAAACATAAAAATGCTTCAATTTTGAATAAGATTATAAAAACAAAAACTATTTCCATTATGTCAAAACTAGCATAGTGTACGGGGCACAACAATTTAGCCTACACATCATGTTTCTTCGACTTTGAAGATCACTATAATGTATGTATCTTTTAGACACATTCGATCCTTTTTTTAGTTAACCTTGGGGAGTAACGGAGTAAGACGTCGTATTAGAAATTTCCCGAGCATTGCAACATCAACTCTTTCGCATCACTTCAAAGTACACACTGTAGCATCTACGACGTAAACGTATCCGGTGTTAAACAACCGCATTGGATAACGAAATAACGTCGATAAACCACGATGGATCGTTCACCACTCGGAAATATCACAGCACTTTAACGATCATTCATTCTGTTTGTTCGTATAATAGATGTTCCAAACATGTACAAACCGCACCTGAATCGATCCAACTGGAATGATAGAAAATGCAGAACTTCTCCCGACGATCTGCTCTCGAAACCGACAAAGAGTGACTCACGCGAGGCCACTTTTATTACTCGACGGAGCATAGTTTCACGCGTTACCGCGTTACGTCACATTTACGTTCCTTTTTGCCATATGTCTGCTCGCCACGACCGGGATTACGATCAAGGACTACCCAGCTTTCGAGACACAATTTATGATTCATCCGAACAATCTTGTCGAAACTGGTCGCTTGGGAAAGAAATCGCAGAATCATTTGCAGCGATCCCTGAAACTTTGCGCACCGCTATAGGGCAGTGAGCACTCAAAAAACGATTACAAATATTTTTCGATTGAAATCACATATTCATGCTTAATTTTTTTATTTCCTACAATACGGCTTTGAATATGTGGTTTTATTAGCACAGTATATATAATGAGATTAATTTTTTAATAAAATTGATGCATAAAAGTAAAATTATAGAATACAGCTATTAAATACAATGGTTTGAAAAACAATTTACCAATTGGTTTACAAAAAAATTAATTAGATACTAACTTTTAGGCTTTACAATTGTACATAGTGTTATTAACATGGAACATTTAATTTAATTATTTTTTATAACATCTAGAAGATATATATAAAAGTCTGCAGGGTGACCCATTTAAATCGATTCAGTCCAATATCTTCGAAACCATCGATGATATTATAAATTTGATAGATTTCTAATCAGATTTTTCTAGGTACATGCGGTATACATGTTTGATTAATAATCCGCAGCTGTGTTTACGAGTTATTAACGAAAAACACTGACCAATGAGAGGCTAATCTTCTATCTTTTTCAGGCAATGTCAGTTCAATTTAACTTTTCATTTTCAAACATTCATATTCTACAACACAAAAGCTTAAGATTTTTTTACACATTTATATAAACAATTGTGGAATATATCGAATGACTTATTGTTTTGTCCAGCACTACAAAATATGTTCAACAAATTGCTAAAAATCAGAATGCGGTATGGACAAAATGCACTTTCATTCTTCTGTGTATAAAATGTTTCGAATTGAATGAGATTTTTGGAATGAGAGTCCTCAAGTCAAAATGGCTTGGAGTGCAAAGGGTTAACGACGCGACCGTGAATAATGACGAGTAATCGCAATTTTCCACGAATAACGCAATGATAATTTTAGCGTTTAACTAAATCCGCTGGAAGCAACGTGTACTAGGAAGCAAAGAGTTCACGGTTGTATAACCACGAAAATTGCGATTCGCTTTCTTCAGGAACGCAATGGCTCACCCCGTTCCGCGCTAAATGAGCCATTATCCACGTAGTTACCGTGCCCATTGTCTTGAAACCGTATTTTAACGAAAACTCTAGCCGCGTTATCGTATCGCAACGTATCGTATCGCAGGATAAGCAACGTTTTGCTCTTTTTCTCTGTGTCGATTGCCCCCCTCCAATTCGTGCGCCGATGTAAAACGAGGTTTCGCGGGATTCCTCGTAGTTACGTGCCGAATACCGGTTTGCGATCGTGTATTCGTTTAAATCGGAATTCACAATTGCATTCTTCGCGTCGAGTTTTAATTCAGAAGCAAGAGAAGCGAAACCTTGAGAAGTCCATTGCAACGTGATTGTGTATATTCTTTTGTTTCAATGGTTTTCGCGATGATGACGGCGATGAAACTTATTTCAATTAGAGACCATAATTGCTATGACGGAAACGTGAAAAAATTGGAGTATAACCATTCAATTTCAGAATCATATTCTATGTAAAAAAGTGCACAACTTTTGTTTCAAACATTTTTTTGTAAGTTAAATATTTTTTTTTCAGATCTTTAGCACATTACAAAAAAATGTTTAAAACAAGAGTGTTCACATATATTTTTCTCCACTGTATGTATTAAAATA